AAGTAGCTAGGATTACAGGCTTGAACTATTATACCTGCCTTTGGTTGGGAATTCTTTTCTTTTTTAATTTTTATTTTTTGTCTTCAACTATTTGTACAAGGAGTTTCAAGTTAACATATCAGTGAGCATTTCAGCTCAAGGCAAGAGCTCTACCACTTGAGTCACTTCCTGTTTAGAGATGAGTGTTTTGTGGACTGTCCTGTCTCGGCTGACTTTGAACCTCGATTCTCAGATCTCAGCCTCCTGAGTAGCTAGGATACAGGCATGAGCCATCAGTCCCCACTTGTACAATGCATCTTGATCAAAGTCATTCCTTCCATCATTCTTCCCTCTTCCTACCTACCCCTAATTAATACTTGAAAAATGGCAAATTGATAATTTAAAAGTTTTTAAATACTTTCTTGGATAAAAAATACTTTTAGGTCTTAGGTTTATCACAAGAAATCACTTTTTACATTTTATTTTCTGTGATTCATATCATTTTCCTTAGCAGCCATCTCCTTTTTTGATTATTGATGATAGCTATTTTTTTTAATGATAAAGGATAATTTCTTTGCTAAAAACAGCAAGGGCATCTTGTGAGGAATCCTGTATATATGGTGTAAAATAATAGAAATAACTGTCAGAATTTAGATCCTTGTGTTTTTTTATTTTTGTTTTGTCAGTTGTGGGGCCTGAACTCTGGGCCTGGGTGCTGTCCCTCAGCTCTTCAGCTCAAGGCTAGTGCTCTACCACTTGAGCCATAGAACCACTTCCGGCTTTTTCTGCTTATGTGGTGCGGAGGAATCAGCCTTATGCATGCAAGGCAAGCACTCTACCACTGAGCCACCTTCCCAACCCAGATTCTTATGTTTTAAGAATAATCATTCTCGAGCGTGTGTGTGTGTGTGTGTGTGTGTGTGTGTGTGTGTGTGTGTGTGTGTGTGTGTGTGTGTGTGTGTGTGTGTGTGTGTGTCTTAGGGCTTGAACTCAGGACCAAGGCTGGATGCTGTGCCTGAGCTCAGCTTTAAAAATTGTTCCAATTAGTGACTTTAAACTTTTTAGTTTTGAAGTGTGATAATCCTAGCTGTGTTTATGTATGTTAGTTATCTTCAGATTTATTAGAACATTTTTGTACTTAATCTCTCTGCACATCTGTAAATACATATGTGTATATTACTAACATAGAACCTTATAGGTTAAAAGTGAATTTCTCTTTTTAAGTAATTTCACAATAAAACTATAGACATTTAAGAGCAAGTTTTTTTTATTCTCACTTTTTTCTTTTTAATTATCTTGGTATAATTATAATCTATGAAGTATGGGAGGAATCAATTTTATATGGTTATAAAACATGTCAAAAATATAATTTCAATTCCAGGCACCGGTGGCTTATGCCTGTAATCCTAGCTACTCAGGGGCCTGAGATCTGAGCATCACAGTTCAAAGCCAGCCTGGGCAGGAAAGTCTATGAGACTCTTATCTCCACACGGGAAGTGGCGCTGTGGCTCAAGTGGTAGAGCTCTTGCCTTGAGCTGAAGAGCTCAGGGATAGTGCCCAGGCCCAGAGTTCAAGCCCCATGACCAACCAAAAAAATAAGAAAGAAAAAAAATATATAATTTCATAATTATTTCACTTCTTTTGGTTTGATGTAAAAAGATAGTCATTTTCTTTTTTTTTTTAAGATAGTCATTTTCTTAGGTATAAAGATAACCATGGCAATCAGTATTAGTTCTAAGTTAAAAAGGATTTCCTATGGACAGTGAAATGGGAAAGTGAATGTTTTCAAGCAAACCTTCAGAACTGCATAGAAATTTAATAGTAACTTCCTTCTATGTAAGTTTTTGGTTTTTAATTCTTATGTAAAAACTGTTACTTAAATGTGATTTGATAGTTTCAAATATTCATCAAATTGTCATTTCATTATTTAAAAAGCAGTCCTTTTGAGGAAATAGACGACTAATATTAATGTCATCATCAGGAAATAGCACTGCATCTGTGTGATGCTTTTTAAATATATTGAAATTATTTTTTACTGCTTTGGTTTTCATAGCACTAAACAGTAACTAGTGTTTTAGGATAAGATCTGCATTACTCTAGCATAATGGAGTTAGCTAACTACATGATTTTAGAGAACTGAGTACTAAAACCACGTGATGTTTCATGAAAATGGATAACTGGAGAAGTAGATTAGCCAACTTTCAAAATGAGTCTACAGAAAAGAAATAGAAAGGGATAATGTTCAAAGTAAAATTCCAATCAAATATACATGGAATTAACATTGCTACTGCTCAGGAGACTCTAGATATGCAGTTAGGGGAATTTACCAGATGAAAACTTCATAATATAAATGAGGAAAGTGGTTGTATAGAAAGGAGGAAGAGGAAGTGATTATGCCAAACACTAAAGGAACTCTCAGAGGTGTTGCACAGCATTGAACGTGTGAAGAATAAAATGTTTGGAAGTGATCCAAAAAAAGGATTTTGACAATTTGTCAAAGTCTATGAACAATGCTGATACCTTATCTTACACGACATAAAGAAGAATAAGACATGCAGCATTCAGACCACAATTGATCATTTTTTTTACAAAGAAGTAAAGCATTTTTAATTCTCAAAGCTTAACAAATATTTGTCAATGTTTATATTTACATTTAAAGATAATTTGCAACTTTTTCAAGGAAAAACACTTGGAAATCATTGTTTACCTGTGTATCATTTATGTAAGGTCTAGTTATTATCATTATGCAATACGTAATCATTATCATTTATGTATATGTAACTTTTAAAAATAAAGGTAGTATTTACAACAAAGAAAGTTATTTTAATTTTCAATGTTCCTAATGTTAAGTTATAGTATTCTGGCCAGATATTTTTAGTTTAATAATGCTGTACTATTTTTATTGTGCTATATATTATAATTAAGTATATTTTAATATTATGGTTTAATAGTTGGACAGAGATTTATAGAAGTCACAATTGTAACTTCTTACCAGTTAAAGATAATTTTGCATGGTTTTAGGTTTCTCAGTTATTTTTAAGGTCTTTTACCATTGTATTAAATAAAGACAATATTTAATTAGATAGGAATCATATAAATATAATCATAAATAAATGACTATATTTCCATTTTTACTTCTGTATTTTTCTGTTCTGATTGAATAGAATAATTATCAAGTTTTAAATGTACAAAACAACTTACATTTTCCAATTTCCTTCATCATTTTCACTCTGATCATTACCCCCTCTTCATCATGCCATATTGTCTTAGGCATTCATGTATTATCCTTTGATAGAACCATAAAAAGATAGGCTGGTTGCAGCATTATTTACCATAGCTAAGATATGGACCCAGCCCAGATGCCCCTCATGATGAATGGATCAAGAAAATGTGGTATATATGCACAATGGAATTCTATGTCTCCATCAGAAAGAATGACATTGCCCCATTTGTTAGGAAATGGAAAGACTTGGAAAAAATTATATTAAGTGAAGTAAGCCAGGCCCAGAGAAACCTAGGCCCCATGGTTTTCCTTATTTGTAATAACTAGCATATGTCTGAGGCAAGCAGAAAAGGTCAGATATGTTGATGTTAGGTGAAATGAACCCCAAGATAAGTATTCAGATGTTTTTTACTTTCATGCAATTGTTTCTAACATATTTATAAGATGATTTCTTTGTTGCTTTGTATGCCTCTCCCCCATGATATAACCTCTGCTTTCACTGTTGGTATAATTTGTGGAGGGGAAGGGGAAAAACAAATCGTTTGAATTGGGATACAAGTGGATTCATTGCAACAATGAGATGTACAAGTCGTTATGTCAAAAAATGAACTTTACAACTTTGCCGGGGGCGGGGGTGGGGGGGGAGGGGGAGGGAATATGGGGGGCGGGATATGGGAAGCTATAGGAAGGGGAAACAAAGGAGGAAACAACAATGCTTGATAAGAAATGTGCTCATTATCTTGCCCATGTAATTGTAACTCCTCTGTATGGTATTTTCAAAATAAAAAAATTTTTTAAAAAGATAGGCTGAGAAGTTAAGGTAATTGAACTGTTTTGTGTTTGAAGTTTTGATAGCGATTATATAAATCTATGCATGTTAAATTTTTATTTTGCTCTGAAATAATCATTTCAACATTTCTATGTTATTCATTTAAAATAGCACTTACAACTAAGTTCTGTAAAGGAAATATTTCTAGGTGCTAAGAAAGACCAAAGTCCAGTTTAAACTTGCTCAGAACACCAAAGATTCATCTACAAAATCATCTAACACATTTCCTATATTATAGGAATGTATTGAATAATGTAATTTATTGACTACCAAAAATAAAACCAGAGTGGTTGTATTTGTACACTATTCCATCATCAAAAGGTCAAAATACAGTCAGTGAATTGGGAATTATAATATTATGACTTTTGAGTATTTGCAATATAATTTGGCATGTTTTGATTATGATTTTAAGAGCTGTAAGAATAGAGAACGATTCCTGGATTAGTTTGGCTAATAGTATTTTAGTTTTTCATGCTGCTATTACAAACTATCTTAATAGACTGAGTAATTTATAAACAACAAATTAAAATGCTTACAGTTCCGAAGGCAACAAGATCAAGATGCCAGCAGACTCTGTCTGGTGAGAGACTGTTTCTCATATTTGCTCCTTCTGTGTATCCTTATATGGTAGAAGAGGCAAACAAGCTCCCTGAACTTCTACAAGAGTATTAATAGAACAGTCCTTATCACCTTGCAAAGCCTTTACTTCTAATACTTAAATCTGAATACTTCTAATACATGAATCTGAAAGAAAATCATTTAATCCTTAGCAAACAATTAGTATACAAGGAAAAGTCAGATCTTACTGTAAAATTTTCTATTTATAGAGTGAATTTGAGTAAATGGGATTTTCAAGATGTGTAATCTTATACATTTTTCTATGATTCTCCCCCAAATTGTTCCTCCCCACTTTTTATACATAAGTAGATGAATTAACTTTCTGAAAAAAAATAATCTTTTTGTCCATAGGTTTTCTGTGAAAACTTTGATTGATCGGTCTTGCTTTGAGACAATTGATGATTCGTCTCCTGAATTTAACAATTTTGCAGCTGTTTTGGAACAGATTCTAAGTCACCGGCTAAAAGGTAACCACAGCATCAATTTTTTAATCTCTACAAAGCTTTCTTGTGTAATAAGCTTAGTCATACAGACTAATGTGATTTAGATAGTCACCAAGCTACATTTTGAGAAACATAAAACTGATTTTTCAGTGTCTAATTTTTTTTTATTTATTTCCCTAGAAAAGTGTCTCCATCCTCAGATTTACATATATTTCTAAGGCATGATTTTAAAAAGTATTAAATATATTGATTGCCACATATAGGAACAAAGTCTGTTTTTGTAAGAGTACAATCAATTACTAGCAGATAGGCATCCCATGCATTAAGTTTGTTCCCTTATTATCTACTTCTTCAAGTCAGTAATGTTTGAAATGTTTTCAGCAGTAAGTACATTTGAAAAAAAGTTTGAGTGTGGTGGCTCATTCCTTTAATTCTAACACTTGGGAAGCAGAGCTGAAGGAAGGATATGTTTGAGGTTAGCTTGGGCTTCATAGTAGTGAGTTCCAGGATAGCCTGGGGTACATAAGGTGATTCTGGCTCACAAAATCCTGAATAAATAAATAATAAAATTTGAAATAAAGAAATATAAAAAAGATACTTGATTTTGTTTTTCATTAGTCTGTAAGTATATTTATGACATAAATATAGATCTCTTAAAATTTAAAGAGAAATACAAGAGCTTTGTTATCTCTGAACTCTAATAATTTTGAAAATTAAATGTATAGTTAAGATATAGTTAACTAAAACAAAGAATTATGGGCTAGGAAGGTGGCTCAGTGGTAGAGCGCTTGTCTTGCATGCCAGAGGCCCTGGGTTTGATTCCTCAGCACCACATAAACAAAAAGAAAAAAGCCAGAAGTGGTGCTGTGGCTCAAGTGGTAGAGCACTAGCCTTGAGCTGAAGAGCTGAGGGATAGTGCCCAGGCCCAGAGTTCAGGCCCCACGACAGGACCCCCACCCCCCAAAATAAAAGAATTATATGTCTTAGTAAATATCACATAAATCTCATAGTATAATTTTAAATTTGTAATAGTAATTTGCTCTAGTAATACCATAAGAGTCTATTAGGTGTAATCTGAATGTAAGTCTATTCTTTTGAGGCTGGTAGCATCTATGTTTTACTATTTAAATTATTTTAGGAGTTTTGTGAATCTAGACCAAAGGGTTAAATTTATATGAAAGAAAAAAAAATAGGGGCTGAGAAGGTGGCTCAGTGGTAGAGCACTTGCCTTGCATGCTGGAGGCCCTGGGTTCGATTCCTCAGCACCACATAAACAAAAAGAAAAAAGCCGGAATTGGTACTGTGGCTCAAGTGGTAGAGCGCTAGCCTTGAGCTGAAGAGCTGAGGGACAGCGCCCAGGCCCAGAGTTCAGGCCCAACGACCAGACCCAAAAAAAAAAAAAAAAAAAAGAAAGAAAAAAAAAATAGCTCTTTTAGAGCTATTTTACATTTTAAGAGTATTTTAAAATGCTTCTCATTAAAAAAAAAATGCTTCTCATTTTTGCTGTGTCGTGTTTCCTCTATTTTCTGCTCTTATTTTTTATAAGAAAATATATTTTATAAAAGCAAGGACTATAGAGATAGTGTCAGGATTACTATGTTGTATGATGACCGTATATTTTAATTTTATACAAAAGCACATGGAAAAACTATCAGTCCTATATTGAGTAACTAGACAGATTCATTACAATGTAAGTGAACCCACCATACCATGTACTAGCTTCTAAATTGTGCCTTAGCAGAATATAGATTAGGAATATTTTGAATTAATTCTAAACAAATTTATTTGTAACTTGTGGGAACTACTATAATAAGAATACAATTTCTTGTTGACTACTATGACTAAGATAGTAAAAGAGCTGATATATTAAAGTCTGTGCTAAGATTTAAGTTAGGTAAAATAAACAATAAAAATATGCTTCTAAAAAAAATATGCTTCTAAAAAGATATATTATATATATCATGTATTATTTTCTAATTTTTAGTATTTTTTGGAGAGCTTTTATAATTATAGTATGCTATATTCATTTAAAACTTATATTTATTTCAGTGAATTTTGCTAATGCTTTTTCTTTGTAGAAATACAAATTAAAATGTGTGATTTCATGAGGTTCTAAGATACTCAGATCTCAGCGTCACAGGTAGCTATGACTTCAGACATGATTCACTTCCAACAGGCCTATTTATTTTTTTTTAAATAAAGAATATTTGGTATAAACATTAATTCTTCCAGAGAAGATAAAACATTTCCCTCAGATACAATGTGAATCATGCTAACATAGATAAAGTGAAGATTGATATAATTATCTACTTAATTCATGCTAAAGGACCCACTATTGAAGAAAGGAGGTTTGTCAAATTAGAGACATTAATCTTATTTGCAGTAATCCCTCAGTCAGACAATGGTATTACTTTTTCTAGCACATAGCTGAAGAGAAATTAATCACAGAATATTAAAAATATGAAAAGCTTAGTTTAATTTCTTCGGTTTAGTATTTTTGAACATTTACTTACTAATTTTAAAGTACAAGATTTCTCTTCACTTTGAACCCCATATCCACTAATAAAAACCACTACAGAAACTTCATGTACATTAAGTTGGGCATGTTGCCTTCAATTACTCCCTTACCTGTGACTCTATAGCACCAATTCAGCTATTGGTGAACCAAGGACTGCAGATGAAGAGACTACTTTATTCTTATTTGCCTTTATTAATACAATCCAATCAACAGTACGTCTAGTTGGTGAACACAAGGTCTTTTGCTTTTATTACTTCTGATCTCTGGGAACTTGGAAAAGTAGTTTATCACATTTTGACAGTTTAGGTAGTTATAAAATTCTTATGTGCAGACAACTAATTCATTGAACATTGACCTTTTCTGCTTCTTCAAACATGAGCTTAATTTATTAAATGATTGCTTTTCTGTAGTATTTTCCCCAATTGCTCTTTTTTTTTTTTTAATCACCCAGGCAAAGTATCCCATCTTCAATCTTCTGAAACCACTGCAGTCTTAGTTATTCTTCCAAAGTTCATGAGCATTTTATCAGTGTTGACCTTAAAATCTAGCAGTCAGGTCTGTGTAAAGTGCTGCAGGTGAACTAAACTCTATATTAATCTATATTAAGATTATATTGATTTTTATTACAGTACTGGCATTTGAACCTCGAGACTTCTGTGAACTTTCTAGGCAGATGCTCTACTACTTGAGTTGCACTTCCATCACTGCTATTGATTTCTTTCATTCTTACATTCCATGATTGGTACATGTTAATTTCCTAAGGTTTTTTTTTTGGTCAGTTGTGGGGGCTGAACTCTGGGCCTGGGTACTGTCCCTCAGCTCTTCAGCTCAAGGCTAGCACTCTACCACTTGAGCCACAGCATCACTTTCAGCTTTTTTTCTGCTTCTGTGGTGCTGAGGAATCAAACCCAGGGTCTCATACGTGAGAGGCACACACTCTGCTCCTAGCCGACGTCCCGGCCCCCAGAGGTGTTTTTTAAAAAAATATTAACTACTGTTTGTTTAGGTTTTATACCTCTTTAATTTTCCCTGAGATGAAGTTCAATGAGGATAAATATAGTATTATTTTCTTGGTGTACTTCAGAAATGGACAAGATGATTATAAAAAAAATGCAGGTACCATTTTGTGTCATTTAGTGATGGGGATTACTCTGAAAAATGTTGTTAGGTGACTTCATCATTGTGAGAACATTATAGAATATATTTACACAAACTAAGAGGAACAGCTTCATTCGACAGTATAACCTATGGAACTACCATGGATATTTGGTATATTGTTGAGTGCAGCCTTACTGTGCAGCACATAACTGTAAATGGAAAGCTAGTTTATGTTCATGGTCTGGAAGAATGAACATTTGTAAAATGTCCATACTACCCAAAGTTGTCTATGGATTAAGAGTCTCTACAGTGATATTTTTCAAAGAAATAGGAAAATCCTAAAATTCATTTAGAAGCCTCCAAAGGCCTAAATATTCAAAGCAATTTAGAGCATAAAGAACGAAGCTGGAGACTAACATAAAAAAATGCTACAGACTAGCATGGTGCTGCACACCTCTAATCTCAGCATGCAAAAGGACGATGAGTTTGAGGCCAACCTATGCTACACGTAGTGAGAGCCTGTCTCAAAAGATTTGCATATGCAAGTATATAAATACATATACATATATACATTGAATATGTTACAAACCTACAGTAAACAAAACAACATGGTACTTCATAAAAACAGATTGAACCAAGAATACCTTTGATTTTGTACAAAGATGCCAAGAGCAAATAGTAGGAGAAAACAGTCCTTTCAGTAACTGGTGTTGGTACAATTGAATATTCACATTCAGCAGAATGAAATAAAACCCACACCTCATCTACTGTATAAAAATCAACTGAAATGAGCCAGGTGCTTGTGGCTCACCTGTAACCCTATACTCAGGAAGCTGAGATCTGAAGATCATGGTTCAAAGCCAGCCCAGGCAGGAAAGCCTGAGAGACTCTGGCCTACAATGAACTACTCAGAATAAGCTGAAAGTAGTGCTGTGGCTCAAGGGGTAGAGTGCTAGCCCTGAGCACAAAAAAGCACAGGGACCGACCCCAGGCCCTGAGTTCAAGCCTCAGGACCAGAAAAAAAAATCAACTGAAATGAATTAAACACTTAAATATAAGACCTGAACTTATAAATCTACTAGAAGAAACCTAGGGGAAATCTTTGTATTGATCTTGTCAGTGATTTTTTTCAGATATGAGTTCAAAAGCAACAATATGGATTACATCAAGCTAAAAAACTTCTGTGCAATCAAGAAAACAATAAACAAGATGAAGAAACCGCCTATGGAATAGAAGAAAATAGTTAGATGTCATGCATCTAATAAGAGATTAATATTCCAAATATATAAGGAACTCATATGACCTAAGGAAAAAATAACGACTTTCTTTTTTTCCTGTGTTAATTTCTGCATTATTCACACTAATATGTAGAATCAACCTAAATGTTCATCTACAGATAAATGGATAA